AGCAGCAGCAGCAGCATCGAGGTCGCCCCGCTCCCCTCGCCCGCAGTCCCCGGTGGGGCCCGGTGTACCCCGCACACRGCCCCGACCGCTCCCGCGCCCCCTGCCCCGGCCGCGCCGTCGGGCTGGAGCCGCGGCCGCTGCTCGGAGAGCGGAGGGGTTGCTCCCGCTGCTCCCTCCCCGATCCCCGGCGGGAGAGTGTCCTCGCCCCGCGCCCAGCTCGGAGGGTTGTGAAGCATTGCGATCAGCGTTTCCCTTTTCCCCCGAAAGCAGCGGCTGAGGAACGGAGGAGGAGCGCATGGGAAACGGGACCTGCAGCAGCGCCCGGCCGCGCTCCGGGGAGTTTTTGTGCCTTTCCCTTTATTATTATTTTCACCCCAAAAGCGGGCCGGTTTATCCGCACTTTCGGGTGTTGCGGAGCCAAACCCGCGCCCCGGCTGCTGCGGCTGAACTGCATCACAAACTCCACAGAAAACGCCTGTTGATTCGGGATGCACCTCTGCTCCCCGGCCCAAAGTACGCGCGTWATAGCAAATACTTAAACTGTGATGTTTCATAATAGTTATTAATTATTTTAAGAAAAAAATGTGAGAGTGGGGAAAAAAAAACCAAAAAAAACCAACCCACAGCCGTGTTAGCGGTGCTGCAATCCCATCGGGAAGACTGTACCCCGTCCGAGCGCCCTTGTGCCCCGGCCCGGCTCGGCTCCCCGGGCCCGCGGTCGCCAGCCAGCAACAGCCCGGGTCTGGCCCGAGCGCTACGGGCCGGGGAGCGGGCAGGGTCCGTCCTAGCCCCGCAGCCGGCCCGGAGCGGCCCCGTTGCCCGGGCCCTGCTCGTCCCGTCGGTCTCCGGGGTCGGCGCGGAGCCTCGCAATTATTTGTTTTTAATTATTTTTTCCCGATCCACACAATTATTTCAAACTAAGTGACCACGTTGAGGTTTGTCCCGCTCCCGGCTATGCGCTGCTATGCCTGATTTAAGRGATTTTAGCATATTTATCTCCCCGGTGCCGATTTCCAGCCCCGGGCATCCCGGTGGCGGCGCTGGGAGCCGCGGCTCGGCGGCGGGTCAGAACCCGGCCCCATCGCTGAGTTTTTCCCGCACTCCATCTTCGCTCGACCCCCCCGCCCCCCCACTCCGCATCCCCGCACTCCCCGGCGGGACTCCCTCTATTTTGCCGTCCCCGCCCCGCAGGGGCGTGCAGAGCCCGGGCGGGGAAAGCCCCCACGGCGCTGCCGGGCGAGGATGCTGCGAGCAGGGGAAGGGGGGCGGAGGAGGGGGTCTGCCGCGCTCCCCCCCCCGGGCCGGCTCCGTTTGGGGCCGGGGGTGCGGTTGGGGGCGGTGTGGGGCGGCGGGATTGGCTGGCCCGGCCGCCGGCCCTGCGCGCCCCGGCCCGTCTGCGGCGCCGCGGCCAGCTGGCGCCAGCGCTCATATAGGATGCGCGGGGATGGGACCGAGCCGGCCAGAGCAGCGGCTTTGCCATCTGAGTAACACCCTCCATCCAACCTCCTCTGCTCCTCCSGCGCTCGCTCTGCCTTTCCCCCCTCCTCTCTCTCTTGTCTTTTTTTTTTTTTAAATTCCCCCTCCGTTCTCCCCCTCTTCGCGGCACTCGCATCCTCCACGCCGGCATCCATCGCCACCCAGCCTCCCGCGCCGGGTAAGTGTGGGGCGCGGGGGGGTTGGCCGCGCCGGTTCCAGGGCGCACTCGCTGCTCTCTCTAAACACCCTTCTCTCCGCWCTTCTCCTTCTCTCCCCCCTCCCCATTTCTCCCCCTCCTTTTTCTTTTGTGTCAGTTGGAATTCTTGCTAGAACTACGCTATATTAGTTCTGCCGTTCTTCCTTTTTTACCCCGCTTTTGAAGCCAGCTGGAAAAACTCCTATTGACGTTTGTAGCGAGAGCGGGGGGGGGGACGGGGGGGGAGGAAGCTTTTTCCTTTTTTCCTTTTTTTTTCTTTTTGTTTTTGGTTAAGAGTTTGAAATGGGATCTCTGTTTATTTTGTGGGGCAATGAGCAGAGAGGGCGCAAGGCAAGGACTTTTGGGGAGAGGATATTTTTGGAAGGGGGGAGGGGCTCTCCTTCCCCCTCCCCATCCATGTACCTCTGGGAAAAGAAGCCGGCCGGGAGCCGGCCCGGCGAGCAGCGCACCCAGGGCTGCCGAGCTGCTAAACCCTCCCGTCTCTCCCTACAGGTGCTGCCCCGGCGCTTCCCCGGACCTGCCTCCGCTACCCGCCTGTTGACAGAGGCACACGCTGACTTCGGGGGTCCTCCCCCACGCCTCAGAGGGCGCGCTCCAGTCACCCGGCGGTTTTTCTTTCTAAGAAAAGCCTCCCCATTTCTTAAAACCCACCAGGCAGCGCCAAAAGCGACCCCCCGAGCAGCACCCCCCGCCCCCACCGAGCGCCGCTCGCTCCTGGCCCGGGGGTGGGTGGGACGGCAGGCCCAAGGCCATGGAGGTGGCCACCGATCAGCCTCGCTGGATGGCCCACCACGCCGTGCTCAATGGGCAGCACCCCGAGAGCCACCACCCCGGGCTGGCTCACAACTACATGGAACCAGCGCAGCTCCTACCTCCGGATGAAGTCGACGTCTTCTTCAACCACCTGGACTCCCAGGGCAACCCTTACTACGCCAATTCCGCCCATGCCCGCGCCAGGGTCTCCTACAGCCAGGCACACGGTAAATGAGCACCCCGGCCCCTTCCCCGCCGTCTCGGCAGCGCTCCGGACCCTCCGTACGGGCCGCGGGTGTCCCGAGCGGGGCTGAGAAGTTTCACTCGGGGCCGCGTCGGTGTGTCGGAGCCGGGGAAGAGGAGATCGAGAGCAGGATAGAAAGGGAGACAAGGGTGATTTTAACCCTAGGGGTAACCAAGGACTAGCGGAGGGGAGGGAAAGAAATGGGGGAGGTGAGAGAGGAAGGGGAAATAGTGTGCGCACAGGCTAAAACTTCTCAGACACGGCTACTTCCCGGATGCAAAATACAAACCGATTCAAACCGGCGATGGATTTTATTTGGGGGTGTTTTTAGGAGCCGAAGAGAGAGCGTTACGGCAGCTTAGAAGATAGAGCAGAAAGGGGTTTGCTGCTTATTCCCAGGAACGGGGTGGGAGGAAAGGGAGTGCCTGGGTCCCCSTCCTGCTCCCCTTAGTCCTTCTCGYCTGGCTRGCTGGTATATCCCTCGCATAGGACAGGGCGAAGGGGCTGCTGCACCGGCCTGGCTGTTCTTCCCCGGGTTGCGAAGCCTCTGCCGTGGCCGCCTGTCCCCCGGCTGCTCGCAGACCGAGGAGCTGCCCAACCCCGGGGAGCTGGGGGTCTTCCCCGAGCCGCTCCGGGCTGAGCCGCCTCACGCTGATCCCAATCGCTCTTGTGTTCCTACAGCCCGYCTGACCGGGAGTCAAATGTGCCGGCCTCATCTTATCCACAGCCCCGGGATCCCTTGGCTGGACAGCAGCAAGGCGGCACTGTCTGCCCATCACCACAACCCCTGGACCGTCAGCCCCTTCACCAAGACACCCCTGCACCCCTCGGCGGCCGGAGCGCCTGGGGCCATCTCGGTGTACCCGGGCAGCAGCACCTCCAGCACCGCCTCCGTGTCTTCGCTCACGCCGGCCTCGCACTCCGGCTCCCACCTCTTCGGCTTCCCCCCGACCCCTCCCAAGGAAGTGTCCCCAGACCCCAACTCCACCAGCGCCGCCTCCCCTTCTTCCTCCGCCGGGGCTCGGCAGGAGGACAAAGACAGCATCAAGTACCAAGTGTCGCTGTCGGAGGGGATGAAGATGGAGAGCGCCAGCCCGCTCAGAAGCAGCCTCACCAGCATGGGGGCCCAGCCCTCCACCCACCACCCCATCCCCACMTACCCCTCGTACGTGCCGGCAGCCCACGACTACAGCAGCAGCCTCTTCCACCCGGGCAGCTTTCTGGGGGGCCCCGCGTCCAGCTTTACCCCCAAGCCGCGGAGCAAGGCCAGGTCGTGTTCGGGTGAGTGTCGCATCCCGCGGGCTCCCCGCCGTGTCCCGCGTGGAAGGGCCGCGCTGCCGGCGCTGCGTGCGGGTGGTGGGTGGCTGTGCCGGCTGCTGGGGTGAGGGCGGCTTGTGTGGGCCCTCTTCGGGACAGAGGGACAGGTGACTGCTCGGTTCTGCTTTTCTGGGTTTTTAAACTCGGAGATGGAGCTTGGACCGGGTTCCTGGGGGTGCCGATGMGCCCGGGCACTGGCCCCAGGGCGCTTGAAGGGAACGCGGGGCACGGGAGTGGGGCAGTCTGAGCCAGCAGACCGCGTTGTACAATGAGGGATTTATACGGAGAGAGAAACCCAAACCCTTTCCCTCGGAGAAAAGCAGGCCTCAGCCTCCTGAGGGGCTCAGGCTTGATCCCGCTCCCTCAAGTCAAGCAAACCTCCATGGTGACACATGGGGACTTYCCAGCGATAGGTATTTCTCCCTCCATAATTTCCACGTCTCTTCATTAACACCACCCAAGGCCCGAGCGAAAGATGAAAGCGAAACTTCCCTGCCCGATCCCCTTCAGATCGCAGAGGGCCTTCTTCCCTTCGCGTTTTACAAGAGCAAAAGTTCAAATATAGTTTACATACCAGTGCAAAAGACTAAGGTGTCCAGTCATTGCCAACTTACTCCAGCCTAACTTTAACTAGAAAATATTTCCCCCTTTTTCTTTTTTTTCACCCTGAATCAGACATCTCTCTGCTTCCAAACAACTGCCTGCAGACCTTTTCCATGTTCACAACCCTTCCTTGCATTTCTTCTAAAAGTGCAATCCTAAATCCACAAATTAGGTGATGGACAAAGTTTTGACCCCACTTAGAAATCACAGTAGTTATACAGCTAGACATGAATTATGACAATTTATGTAATTCTACTGACCTTCCTGGTTTAACATTCTCACCAATGGAAGGAAATTTACTGCAATATATTTGGGCTGAATTTAGACAGCCCTTTAAAAATAAATGGCTCTATGGGTGTTTGCATATGTATCCCATTGAACGTATTTGCTTATGAATACACTACATGTTTTTATTTAAGTAGACAATAATTTAGAAATGTGATCTCTTATGAGTTTTGCAACAAAAATACCAGCTATTTTACAAGCTCATCAGTACTGTTTCAAATGATTCCTCTGAGGGGAAAAATACAGTCTTTCTCTGCCATKATTTCCAGGCAGTTCCCACTATGTGTATGTATTTTTCAGTAGTGCATAGAAAAGAAACTACAGGCAATTGGTAGCCCAAATCTCCTGAGTTTGAAAACTGATTCAAGGTCTCTAAAGATAGAGGGATCCTGGGTAGCTTTTAAAAAAAAATTTGTCCTGTAGCTGCCGATGAATTTTAGATGGGGGAAACAAGGATTTTTTTTTTTTTTTTTTAATAGTTGCTTCTTCTTTTTTTTTCCCTCTGTAAGGGAGCTCCCAGTGCAAGGAACTGGGGAAAGTTCGTGACCACTCAGTGTTTTTGTAGGAAAACTAAGACTCACGACAGGACGACTCCTGCAGCTTCCTGCCCTAGGAGGGACAAAAGCTACAAATGCAGCGCTGCAGAGCTCCCCTCATTTTTCACTCTAGACTGTGTTGTTTAAAAGCTACCCACTCCCTAGATTAAAGCAGACACGAGCCCCGCTGAACTCAACATGGCCTGCTTCAGTTATTAGCAAAAAGAATTTCCTTTCCAGTTAAATACTGTAGGATTTGCATAAACTATATTAAGAGAGATTTCTATATTAAGCAGACCTGCTCTCAAACCATCCAAGGCAAATGAACTTTTAGCAGGGAGCTTTTCTGAAGCAGAGACAGATATCTAGGAGCTACATGTTGTGTTTTATTTAATACAGCTATTCTRCAATGCCATGTTTACCACATTGTACTACTAAAACTAATAATGRAGGTAAACTGCTCCCTACCAGATTTAACCTGGGTTGCTGAAAAATCACRGAAACAGAAGACCATTCAAAGCCTGTTTTTTACAGTAATTTCCAGTGAAACTAAACTTTCTCAAAGAACAGCATTAACAGTGTTTTTCTGCCTTTAGAACAAAAATCATAACTGAGCCTGTGGTATTCTGTATCCATTCCCAGCCTGCTCGACTCTACTTTCTCATCCTGTAGCATTTGTAACCAAAAAGAAAGTGCAGAATTGGAGGTCTTTCTGCTTAGATTTAGTTCTAGAAAAGCTCTTCCTCTGACCCTGTCTTTAACGTGCTGTGTGTTTGCAGGTGTGTGTGTTTGTGTGCACGTGCACGGGTGTTTTTGTGGCAGGGGAACACAGGATTTCASCCCCGGAGTGCAATAGATCCGAGAGGGGAGCGGTGCCCAGTGCACACTGAGGGAGTTCTCCTTGCTGAAACGATAACTTCCATCTGACACAATGAGAGTGTCACTCTTTCTCACCTTCCAGAGAGCACTGCCTTATTTCTGATCATGACAGAAAATCCTCACTGGAGCCTGGGAGTTCTCAAAACACTGAGTTCCTAGCTGCATGTGCTGTAGATGTCACTGCTGCCTGATTGCGCTTAATTAACAGAATTAACACACTGTTTTGACTTCTGAAAAATGCCTAAAGGACAATGCAAAAAGATTTTGTGAATTTGTTTTTAAAGAAAGAAATCCGGTTTCTTCGTGTTTCCATTTAGAAGGCAGAGAGTGTGTGAACTGCGGAGCCACTGCTACCCCTCTCTGGAGAAGAGACGGCACCGGGCATTACCTGTGTAACGCCTGCGGGCTCTACCACAAAATGAACGGTCAAAACCGACCTCTCATTAAACCCAAGAGAAGGCTGGTAGGTGTCTCTGTTTCTCCTGGGTTTGGGGATAAATAAGGCGAAGGGACCACACACAGGCACGAGTCAGTCGTGCCTCTCCTCTCAGCCCCTGCGTGAGCCGAGCTGTACTGTACGAGGGGGTCAGTCACGGCGAGGTCACTGCCGTGCCTCGGGGCACATCTCCCCCTCCGCCCCTCCGCCCCCATCCTGCCGCAGACCACCGAGCCCGCCTCTGTCCYGTCCCGAGCCTCCCTGCCGCTCACCATGCATGCGGGATATCGTGTGTCCGTCTCTCCGTTTATCCTCGCATGACAGCTTTTAATTTAATTCCTCATTTATTTGGCCTCTTGGGACGGTTTGGGCGCACACCGGGAGCGAAAGGGTTATGAGCGTGAATGTCCTCCACCATGTACTAAAAAAAAATTCCAGCTCCAAAAAAGCAAAACAAATCAGATGAGTCAAAGCTACTGCTCCCTACTTAATAATTATTTGTATAAAAGCCATGAAGTAATTTTCACTCTTATATTCYCTGGCAATATTAATATTGGTTCCCTCCCCAGACAATCCCCTACTGTTAAAAAAAATCCTATTATTTTTCCATGGAGTCACCTATACTTTGTATTTTCATTTGAGTGATTTAAAAAAAAAAGTCCTTTCTAAGCTCCTGGTAGTAGTTTCCTATCCGGATATCTGTACGTTAAAGATAAGGAAACTTTGTGTATCTGTTTCCTGACTCTAAAAGCTTTAGAGAGTTTCTATAGGCAAGCCTTGCCAGTCATGCTTGCTGTTTTGAAATTTCTAATACACTCTACTCCACAAATAATGCGTAAAATGCTAAGAATAATAAATATATTTTTTTGAGCTTTGTGATTTATGGTCCCTAAGTCTCCTAGCTGTTCGTGGGCAAGTTTCAGTGAGGTTTAGAGAGCAGAAAATTGGCATTACTGTTCTAACACTGGGATGGGATACAGAAGATTTCTGCCGTGAGTCAGAATTTCAGCTATGCAAGCTCCTTAATGACTTGCCTTCTAAAGTGACTGACATATAGAAAAATGTTAAGACAACAGTGTAACATTATCGTCTCTCAGGCTCAAGTGCTTTCCAGACTGAATGGGACAGGCCATAGAGTTAAGCAGCATAGTTGAGTATCAGTAAGCCATCTCAAATATGCAAACATAGGTCTCCACCTTCCAGCGTGCTGGGAGACTGTTATACTTAGCTCACTGTGCAGGGTTTGGGGGGCACTAGAGAGGTTTTCTTTTAGTGTAGTTGTTTAAATGTTTTGTTTTGTTTTAATTGATTTACAGCTTTGTTTATTGCCCCTTTTTCCACTGTAGTTTGCTTGTTTGCGGGGGAGAGGAGATGGCCATCTTTGGGAATTTGTTCATCTGCCATGCAATAGCAAAGCGATCGTATTAATAATGTCAGCGTTTGGACGTCTGGCATTAATTGTGTTTGGGTTGCATGAGTGCATTTGCAGTGGGGGGTACCCCCTCTTTCTGCCTTTGGCCTGTTCTCACAGGCGAGTGAGGCACAGAAATATATGAGTCTCCGAGGGCCTGATGCTTGCCTAAAGCTCCCTAGCCGACCGTCAGCTTTGGGAAAGTTACAGAGGGCCATGGCGTAAATCAGGAGCAAGTGAGAACAGAGCCCTGCGCTCCTCTTGGGCGAGCGGGCCGGGCTGTGCTTCCAGTGGCGCCAGCTCCCCACCGGGCAGGGAAGCGCACCGAGTTCTCTGGAAAAAAAACCCACTGCCCCAAACCCACGGACTGGCTCTGTGCTCACGGACATGCCCTGTGCATTACTGGGAGCTTTGCTGTGCTTCACCCCACGGCTCTCCAAGGCTGATGGCAGAAATTCCCAGAGCAAGGCCCCCGGGGAACGGCCGCGATTGATGCGCTTTAGGAAGTAAACTCCAATTTAAGAAAACACTGAGTCCTCAGCATTAATTCAGTAGCACAAAATGGACTTGGTATTTTGACCTCTCCTAGAGGCAGGGCTGAAGGTTTCTGGTGCAAAATGATTTCCCAAAATACAGGGTGCAGTTAGTCTGTCCATAACACTTTGTACGTCACTGTCCATGCACAAAGGACGCTTTATCGTGGGGTCTGCTAGACAAGGGCCCATCCAGGAATCACGGCCGCCTGCTGTTCTACTTTTCCTGTTCTTGTTTTGGGAGGTGGGTGAATGTTTGGGCATTTTTCTTTCCCCCCACCTTGGTTTCAGCAGAACAATAGTTTTAGGGAAGGGTGGTGGATTTTTGGTGGTTTTGTTTAATTTTAAGACAGTTGTTTGAGGGCTTGTCAGCCAATGAACTAAGTAGGGACAGAGGCGGCAGACGGGTCAGCGGAATCATTGCTGCAAGGCATGAAATTTGGTTTGCTAAATATTTAAAGAAAGTTGGAGCCGGTTTTGTTTTCTCCCTTTCACTTGTAAATGCAAACTGAATTTTCAGTGATGGCTCTGATAAATACTGCACCCAGCTAAGTAATGTGGTTCGTTTTCTTTTGTGTCCACCTTTCAAGGGCCAGAGTAGGGGTAAAAATCACATTCTTAAAGATTCCCTCTTTTCAAACTCAGTCCCAGCATTGGCACAGAWTAAATTGGTCATTAAAGAAAAAGAAAAAAGGGAAATGCATGTTCATGATGCATTTTAAAATCCTGCAAAGGGAAAACTTAAAAAAGTCAAGATTATTTTTCCCCCTCCCTCTAAAATTTTTGTTTGTGGAATCGGAGATTCATTGTTTCTCTCCTTACTTCTCGTGAACACAGAATGCCATGAAGCTTGAAACTGCACTTTGCATAGGAGAATATTTAAATTTAAACAAATTTAAATGTAACGGCCATAAAACGTAAAACTGACGGCAGCTTTCCTCCAGCCCTGATGCTCTGCAAAATCTGAGYAACTGGTTCTCCCCAAACTAAATATTGAGTCCAATTTGACCTTTCTCATGATCTCCCTCTGCCTGGTGATACATTTTAATTTTCTTTTTCTTTTGGTTAGTCAGCGGCCAGGAGAGCAGGGACTTGTTGTGCCAACTGTCAGACAACCACCACGACCTTATGGCGACGTAACGCAAACGGGGACCCGGTTTGTAATGCCTGCGGACTCTACTATAAATTGCACAATGTGAGTATTTACTCATCTCATGTGTCGCTGCTTGCCTAGCCTGGATTGATGTCTTAACTGCATGGTGTACACTGGKCTTTTATTGGTTTCAGGGGTTTGGTTGTTGTTTTATTCCTTCCCCMGTCTCTAAGGTTCCCCTGGGAAGTGACAGCCGTTCTTTGTCAGCATAGTGATGCTAAGTTCAGTGACATTACAATGTATTAGCTTGGCTTCTAACGCTTGGGCAAACCAGGCAAAATAGAGCTGCCACACTTGGTTTAAACTAAGTGGGTTTTGTGTGCCATTTCCCTCCTGAAACAGGCCATTTGGAATGGGCTCTGTGCAAAAATTAATCGTGATGGGCTAACTTCATTTTGACTTGGTAAAAAATAATTATATCTGAGGCTTTGTTGTATTAGGTAATTTTTTTTAAGAAATTAATCCTAAGCAGGAACACTTGATACGTTGGAACRTTATTTACACTGTAAGTAACAGAGGTTACTGGTACAAGATTGCTCATGTCTCAGGACTGAATTTGGGTCAGCATGTGCCTCCTAGTTTGATCTTCTATTAGGAAATGAATGAGGACTGAGGGTAAGCCTACGGGAAGGAGAGTCATCAGCTGCCAAATTCAGTTCAATTTGTTTTTCATGTCTAGGGGTTTTTTGTGTGTGTGGTTTTATTAAACAAATCAATATAAACAAGTTCTGCAGAGAGCAACACCATTTTTTTTGGCCAGARAAAGGTCTCCATCCAGGAAAAACACATGGGGGCTGTCCAAATATTTTCATTTTTGCACAATAAGGTCATTTTGTCTGCATGAGCCTGATTTTCTCATTTCTTGCAGGTGAACAGGCCTCTGACCATGAAAAAGGAAGGAATTCAGACCAGGAATAGGAAAATGTCCAACAAATCAAAGAAAAGCAAGAAAGGCTCTGAGTGTTTTGAGGAACTGTCCAAGTGCATGCAGGAGAAGTCGTCTCCCTTCAGCGCTGCTGCCCTCGCCAGTCACATGGCACCCATGGGGCATTTGCCCCCTTTCAGCCACTCTGGACACATCCTACCAACACCCACCCCCATCCACCCCTCTTCCAGCATCTCATTTGGACACCCACACCCATCCAGCATGGTTACAGCCATGGGATAAAACCTGATGACCAAGAGACCCACCCAGGTATTAAGAACATGGGACTTTGCCTAAGATGATACCATATAAGAAAATGTTCTGCCAAGAGGAGAATGTAGGGATGGCAAAAGGAGATCTTTGCTCCCATGTGGTTTAACTCTTAATGCTGGACTAAAACCTTGCAAATGATGGGTCTTCTGCAGAAATGTGTAGTGGTGCCTGTAATGCACTTTGCCCCCTCAGGTATAAGAAAAAAGAACTCATCTGTTCGATACTTCATGGTCCAGCAGGAAGCAAGAGACGGCAGAAGCTGAAGGAGAAGGCTTGGAACTGGCTTTCCTTTCTCTTTGTTATTACTGTGAATATTGTAAAGAGATATAAGCAGCCTCCCAGGATGGAATTGGCTCACTGGAAGCCAGACATGCTGGATTTCTATTGTGGACTTTCTTTGGGATGGGGAAAAAAAAGAAGAAAAAAAGAAAGGAAAAGAAAAAAGAAAAAGGAAAAAAAAAAAAAGAAAAGGACATCTTTATTAAACTGTAATTTTTAAAATCAGACACAAAGTCATATTTATTTTGTTTTCCACAAAAAGCCTCAACCCCTCTGATTGCATGTTTTTGTGCTGTCATTTGCAATGGTTACCCTGTAAGAAAAGCTGCCTTCAAAACAAGAAGGAGAGGGRAAATGTACTCGACAGCCCCTTGGATTAGCTCCATCTATCTTCCATACCAAARTTACTAGGAAGGGGGAAAAGATTGCGAGGGCGAGGAACAAAGCAAAAATGTAGCCGTAATATGGGATTTTAATATGCCCAAGATGGTGATTATTTTGACACAATTCCTTCATTCTTTTCCCTAACTTGAAAGATTTATTTTAAAAAAGAGCCCCTCGCCCAACTACCCCATTGTTYCTTAAAACAGACAACCTAGGTCAGGCAAACCGTTGGGAAAAATCTCTGGGGAAGGCAATCCTGCCACTAACAAGGGGTGAGATACAGGCGTTTACCAAAACTGTGTCGCAGCTAAGTTCTAGCACAGCCAAAACCATCATGGGGCACGAAAACCATCCCGCTCGCAGACTTTAGAGGTTGAAGCATTTTGTTCTGTTGTGTTGGCAGCTGTCGCTTAAAAATGCAGATTAGCTGCTTGGGTAAACTTGAGGCAGTGTGGCCACCACGTCCACACGCAGCTCGTGCTGTCTCAGGCATCCAGGCCCCGGTGGACTTCACAGGGAGGAAGGGCAGAAATGAGGTTGAGATCACTGGAGAGGGGAAAAAGAGAGACAATCAGTTTGAGCTTCACACATCCGTCAAATTTCAGACACGGCGACAGCTGATGAGACGAGGGAAAGCATCGTTCTAAGGGGAGCGTTGTTTTCCATAGCGGATTTTATATGAAAAAAAAAAACCAAAAAAAAAGAAAAAAAATTAAATCTCCCATTATTAAAACATATTGTACGTAAATGACCGAAAACAAAGCTATTGCCAATGTGAAGTGTATTCTATTGATTGTTATGATCTGATGCCTCTCGTGAACACAAGCTCCAGTATAACATACAGTGTACATATTTAGCTATACTTCTGATGAAAATGCCCCAATGAACAGAGGGGTTTGATAATGTAAACCACGTAAGCTTAACTCTGTGACAAGCTTTTTGTTTTATTTTATTTTTTAAAATTTTAACTATTTTGTTGTTGGGTTTTTCTTTTTTTTTTTTTTTTTTTTTTTTTTTTTTTTTTTTTTTTTTTTTTTTTTTTTTTTTTGGATCAAGCCAAATTGTATCTTTACTGCAAAAATCCTGCTTTAAAGAAAAAAAACAGAACAAAACAAAAATGGATGTATGTAAATTGTTTTTTAAACCTGTAATTCTAGTATTTTATAATTAAGAACCAAGCAGCCATGAAAATCCTGCTTTCCTCCTTTTTTTTTGGTCTGCATAGGCATATAGGTGCACTTTGTAAAGAAGTGGAAATAAATGGGAAACAAAATTGGTTGGGAGAAATCATAAGAATTTTTAATCTACTGAGGTGAAAAATTAGGTCCTTTTTACTTTTTACCTTTTACAATGGTACAGTTGTACATTATTTGTACCCAACTCAAATTTCTGTAGGATTTGGGCAGAGGGGAAGGGATGTGGGTGAAAGACAGGGATTACTGATACAGTTGACAAAGTGCAATATATTGTCAGTCACTGCAGCATAGACAACGGCAGTCGAGATTTAAGTTATTTTGTACTTGTATCAGCATAAAAAATTCTTCAGTATTTTCTGTTTTTATTTTAATTTTTATTTTGCTTATTTTGGATTAGTGAACTAAGTTATTGTTAATTATGTACAACATGTTTATATATTGTCTGTAAAAAGTGTATGCTTTCCTCATATTCCTTCAAGGTGAATATTGCTAAGAATAATAAAATACCTTTTTTTGTGAAACTACCTGTGCCCAGCTTCATGTTAAAAACATGCTTTCAGTAGGGAGCAGGGAAAAGTTATCATCATTGTTGCCAGTAGAATTGTTAGCTTATGCTTTATGCAGATCAGTCCATTGATATTTCAAAAACCTAACAGGGTAGGAAAAAAAGGGTATTAAAGAATGATTTAGTATCAAAAGCACAGGTACAAAAGCTCATTCTCCAGTGTTGTTTTGGGGTAACAAGGTTGCACGCTAAAGTTTCTAAGGTAGTTTAAAGTTTGAGGCAGCAGCCGCATTGCAGATGATGAACTGTGGTTTCTCTCGAGATTTATTTTTTTTATGTGTTGTTTCTTTTAAAGCGTTTAGAGAAATATTTCCACATTAAAAACGTATTTTAAAAGCACTGTAAATGTAGAAAAGTGGCCAGTTGCTTAATGGGTTTCAAGGCAGGACCTGTGTTAGACCAGGGGAAGTTCTCCGAAGGAACACTCTCAACCTGTTTCTTGCTTTTGTCATGATCSGTGGCGTGAAGGGAGCGAGGGAGAACTGCCAGCCTGGAGCTGCTCAGTGAAAAGGGCTGCAGCTGTGGGAGTAGAGGGCTGTGCACATGGGCTGGCATGTGAGGATGGAGAAAAGTGCTTATCAGGCACATCTTCCATGGCCAAAATTTTGCAGCAGCTTCCATCACACAGTCGGCCACACAAGGCCCTTACAAAGTCTTGCAAAGTGCCACCACCATGCGTAAGGGGGTGGGCATTTGCTGCAGCAGCAGCAGCAATATTTTCAAGAAAACTTCTAATGAACTTTGGGTTTCCTCCTTTGACCCCCTRGGAGATGTGTCTCACTTCTGTGGAAACCAGCTTTCCCCTTTACTCACTAAGGGGGGGAAAAAAATAACCTGAGTTCCTTTTTCAGCGTGTGTGTGTGTAAATTCCAGCCCTTTCCACCAGAGCTTCTCTTTTCCCCTGCAGCTCCTGCCCAGCCCTGGTTGCAAGCCCTGCCCGTGAATACCACGGAGTCGCAGCAGCTCTCGATGTGCTGAAGGAAGAACACGCAACAGGGACGGGGCCTTCCCGCACCGTTTCAGACGAGTTAATCATCTCTCCAACTTGTTTAGCAAGGCTTAGTGCAAACACCCATTAAAAAAAAAAAAAAAAAAAAAAATGCAGTTTATAGCATACCAGTGCAAGCTTCATTTAAAAAGAAACATGTTTCATTTCGGCCAGGTTTAAAATGGGCTTATAACTGAACTCGGCTGCTTTCCCTCCATCTTTGAATAGCTCAGAAAGAACCAGCAACATCTCTTTAAAATATGAAATAATCAAGCTGCTCGCTGTGGTTGCACATCACCCATCTGTTCAGGCTGTGGTGGTGGCTCACCTGGGGGCTGCCTCTCTGCTGGTATTTTGCAGGTTTGGTTGGATCTGCTGACAGAACTGGGGCCGTGATCCATCAGGCTGTCAGGAGGAGTGGTGCATCCCCCAGCRCCCGGAGGAGCGTGCCTCTCTGAGTGGGGGCTTCAGCAGTTCCTGCAACACAGATAATAAATAATCCCGTGTTTGTCAGGTGGCACTAATCTGTGAAAGATCAAACCATCTCTCTGCAATGTGTGTATCGTGTTTGTCTCCAGACATTTTGCATAGCAGAAGAAAAACAAACAGCAGGGAATGGAAATGGAGCAAGTGTGTAAAGTTCAACGTAAAGTGTAAGCACAGAGCAGATATCGAGGCAACAAATTGGGATTTATAGTCCTTTCACTACCACCAAACACTGGGGGACAGGCTTTTTGTGAGGGGGGAACACTGACATTACTTGCCTTTGGTTCCTGTTGTTGGGATTATTGTTTTAAGCCGTGCTTAATTGTCATGTCTCCACGGCCACATCAAAAGCCAAGAAGATTAGGTTACAGGGAGTGTTTGATGTCAAAATACAAAATAAATAAAAGGAAAGCTGAAAAGGTACTGTATTTTCTATGATGTCTAGTGAGGTTTTTGCTTCAAACATCCCTTTTTATTATTATTATTTTGCAAAGGTTGCACTTTCAGTGACAAGATTTCATTTACTTACTTTCAAATGACTCCACTGCTTTCCTGCAGCAGCTCGAAAGGGTTAATATCCCCTCTTTGATGGCAAACATGGTATAATTAACGCAAACTTCTTAAGTATCCTGGTGACCTGTAGATGGCCACATGAGAATTTTGTTATTTACTGACTTGCCAAACGTTTATTGCTTATAGCAGGACAAGTGGGAAGCAGGCATTAATTTTGATGCCGTTATCTGTGATTGCGTGTAAAGTTCATAGCAGAGAGTGCCTATATGTCAACTGCAATTAAGCATTTTCCCATTTTTTCAAAAATTAATTTCACGTTGGTGGAGGGGGTTGAAGCAGCAGATTTGCAAACTGAACTGCTTTCCTCAGAGAGGAGTGACACAGCCAGACACAGGACAACTTCCCCTTACCTGCAGGCTGCAAAAGAAAACACTCTGGCGCCATGGAGCATTTGATCCTTGGCTGCTCTGCAGAGACCGTCAAATCAGTACCAACTGTGGCAGGGCAGAGAGGGACATTTTGTGGTGTGGCATCTCCCCTTGGAAATTAGCCGGAAAAACAACCAGAAATGAAGCCAAAAAGTGGCTAACAGGTGAGTATGTTAATTTATCACCAACCTGGACTGGATTAGAATGCGTGACCTAGAAGTAAAATGCTTTGTTTAGCCCAACTCCCTGGGCCATCTGGTCCCTGCAAGCAAACATTTCTAAGTGAGATTAAGTGACTGTTCTTTAAGCATGGTGATGATATGAGCGCAAACCAGGCTGCTCTGGGTCTAACAGCATCAGCATCAGGGCACTGACTGGGGCTGAATCAGAGACACCATTTGCCTGAASAGCTCTGGGTGCAATTCTCCGTGGTGCCGGTTTTGCAGTCAGTCCAGGTGGTTCAGTCTGATGTGTCCCTGTCAGATCAAGAGTTTGCCCTAAATCCAGGGCTCAGATGGCACCAAAACTCTGCTGAGAGATAACCCCATCACAGGAAACTTCTTTGAGATGCTGCAGAACTACCCTGCATTTGCAGTAATAACTGAAGTGCATTTCTGAGCACTGAAAGCGCTTCTGAACAAAATGCAATTGCAGGGTGAGGGATACAGCAGAGAAAACATCCAGCAGGTAGAAAGACAATAGAGAACTAACCCCTCCTTCAGGGAAAGGSTTTGACATACCACTGAGGGAGGGACCTGCTACTGTTTGGTCTATAAAAACCTGAATCAGGGAAGTATAATGTTAACCCAGCCTATGCAGCAGTGCCAGGCAGAAAACAGCCACCTGCCTGTATCCTGCACATGCCTCTCTCAGTGGCTCTGCATTCTGGGCTGCAGGGAGTTATTTGGGGGAAAGTTGACTCTGGCTCAGGGGGGTCAAGAGCCTGTGTAAATCATTTGGAGTTGGGCCTATCAATGCCAGACTGTGAACATGGACCCTTGTTTCTTCTAAACATTCAGTGCTTCACCAGAGTCTTCCCCAGCGCTTTTATTTTCCTCTGGCTCTTGATTCAGCTTCTGCCTGCTCTCTGTCAGGCAGAGAGCACATGGCAGATTTCTYTAYCTGGAACATTTCGTTGKYTWTTTTGGTTGYRATTTTTTTATCTCTGATTCTTTAATTCACTCCCACTTGCCCACATTGAAATTCTGGTAGCAGGGTGATTTCAAGGCAATCCATACTGGATTTTGCTGTAAAATTCAGATTAATTCACCATCTCCTGTTTTAATTCAGCCCA